CGGTTTCTCTTACGTGACCATTGGCACGCTCTTCGCCATCATGCTGACGAAGTCCCTCAGCAGCGGCTTCTTGTCATCGTCGGCGACTTCAACGTCTCCGAGTTCCCGCCACGTTCGATCAACACGCCTGTCGACTCAGACACCACAGCATCACAGCGTTATCAGTACCAACCAGTCTTCTGGCGCAACCTGTTCCGCGACGTCATCGAGATTGTGACTCCCTCGACGACGCATAGATCGGAGGCTAACAAGAATGAGTCTACGATTGACCGCTGCTTCATCAACCTGCCTAGCCACCTCATGCCTTTCATGGAAACTGTCTACATCGCCGACGACGCCCCCCTCGAGAACCCCAAGGGCCCCGTCAGCGACCATGCGATCATGCACTTGCGCATCCGTCTCCGCAAGCCCAAGAAGGTCACCGAGCGCGGCATCCCCGCGTACATCTTCGACACCGACCACTACAAGCACCACGTCGCCAGAGTGCTCGCCACGGTCGACATGGCCTCTCTCACTCCCACTGCGCGCTGGAGGGCCTTGAAGGCAGCCATGAGAGTTGCTGCTGCCAGAGCCCGTGACACGCTTCTCAAGATCCCAGCCGCCGAGCTATCATCACAAAGTGGGACCGTCAGAAAGGAGACCAGGGCCATGACTCTACGCAGCATCGCCAGAGCTGTATGGTACCAGAACATCCCCCTCGCCCAGACGCTGATCGACACCACCGACATCGGCAAACTGCACCTGAAGATTGACGGTCGTACCGTCAGCATCGACGACATGCACGACTTTTCCTCGACCACCGACGCCACGCACGCGAGCCTCAGTGACGAGCGCAAGGCCCTCTCTGCAGCACGCTCGCGAGCCGCTTTCGCCGCCAACAATGTCCAGCTCGGTCAGAAGTGGCGCCAGCGAGCCAAACGTGAAGGCCTCCGTGGCGAGCTCTGGAAGCCATTCTCCAAGCGGTTCGTCCTGACGGGCGTCAAGATCATCGCGGGCGGCGTCGCCAACATCGTCACCGACCCCGCGACGATGCATCAGGCCATCATGCGCCACTGGGCCCCCGTCTTTGCTGCAAAGCATGTTCCTGACGACGCCCTCTCCAACTACCTCGACTCGATCTTCCCCAAACGCGCACTCACCCACCTCGACCTACCTGACGCCCAAGCTCTCGAGAAGGCTGCTCGCCTGGCTGGCGACTCCGCGCCAGGACCCGACACACTTCCTTACAAATCATGGTTGCGTACTCCCGACAGCTTCGACATCCTCGCCGACTTCTGCCGTGACATCGCCACCAGACGCGCACCGCCTCACGACCTCAACTACTCCGTCATGGCCATGCTTCCGAAGGGCGACGAGCCCTGCGGTAATGCTGAGTGCACCCGCGCTCCAGAGTGCCTACGTCCGCTCTCAATGAAGAACTCGGATGTGAAGCTGATGGCGTCCGCCGCCAATCGACAGCTTCACGCCCTCGCAGCCGAGACGTCTCCCGAGCAGCAGGGATTCGTCAATGACCGCCAGTTTTTGCGCAACGTCGTCGTGGTGGATGCCGCTGCTCGACGTCGTAGTCTTTCACCTAATGCAGTTACTGACAAGCCCGTCTTCGGCAGCATGGACATCGCTGCCGCCTTCCCCAGCCTCGGCCACCACTGGATGTGGAATGTTCTCCAGCGATGGGGCATTCATGGACGCGTGCTTCACCTGCTTCAGGCTTGCTACCACTGGCCTGTCTCCTACCTGGACCTGGGCGGTGCACGCCGCCCCCCCCTGATCGCAGCGTCAGGAGTTGCTCAGGGCTGTCCGTTAAGCGGTGCGATCTGGGCACTCGTCTTTGGCCCAGTCATCGGAGCCCTCACCAGCGAGCTCTCAGCCATCGAGCGCGGTCTGGTTAGCGCATGTGCTGACGACCTCGGCATCGTCCTCGCGAGGTTAGCGGACATCAGCAAGCTCGCGCCGCACATCATCGCGGTGGAGACTCTCGCGGGCCTGTGCCTCCAGGCCAAGAAGTGCATCGTGGTCCCGACCTGGGCGCTGCCCACTCAGGACATCATTGCGGAGATACGCCAAGTACTTGCTGCTGCCCGCGCTCCATGGGCCGCATTCAAGGTTGAGTCCAGCGCCAGATACCTCGGCTTCTTCATCGGCCCTGGCGCCACTCTTGACGACCAATGGCGAGGCCCTGCTGTCAAGTGGTGGGGCCGCATCGAGAAGCTCGCCGCGTCCCACGCCCCTATCCAGCAGAGCATCAAACTGTACAGCGTCGCTGCCGTCACGGTCCTTGGATACGTAGGCCAGCTATTCGAACCCTCGGCGGGCATCCTCCAGAAGGAGCTGCAGGCGTTCCACAAGTTGCTGCGCGTTGCCCCGTCCAGCTTCGCGAAGTCCGACATCCTCGCGATGTCTCTCTGGGCCAAGGCTGAGGTCCCCATTGGCATCGAGAACTACCTGGCGGCCACCATGTGGCGCACAGCCACCTCCACGGTGGCAGATTGGCGCGGCGCATTCAACGCGCTCTGCGACACCGCGTACGAGCAGCTCCCCCTCGTCACAGTGCAGCGCGGCCACTGGTGCAGCGAGTGCTGGTCTATCAAGTCTTCCATCGCCCAACGGTTCGAGCACATCATCAACTCTACCTTCTTCCCCGACTGCAAGGGCTCCCACTTAAAGAGGTTGACCCGCGCAGCTGGCCCCCTTCCGCGCGCCCGAGCCGCTATGATTGGCATCCACAAGCGAGCCGCTCGTGCTGGAATGCAGGCCCTTCTACAGCAGCAACAAGAACTACATCGCCGCCGAACCACACAGATCACGCCGCAGAAGGCCTACATGACCTCCCTCAACGAGCAGCTCTACACCGACACGATGGCAGACACCATAAAGCGGCGTCTCCTGTCCTGGTTCCCGTCTCTTGACCTTGCGAAGTCGCTCGCCAGGGAGCCGCTCAGCGGGCCTTGCCGAAATGCCGAAATCGTTCAAGAACGTCTGGCCGACCGAGCTCGCGCATGGGCCGCCCACTGGCTTCCCGACATCCTGCTCAATGACCGCGCGATCGACAACCGCTTAGACTGGATGCAGTGGTGCACGGAGTACCTGTACGAGCTCCTCGGGTCCGAGACCTTTCGCCCGCTTTATGCCACCTCCGCTCGCCGACGACAGATCGCCGCCGACATGTGTCAGCAGGCATGGGACAACAGCGGAACTGGCAGAATCCTCCTCGAACACCGTCTCTCAAGTGCTCGGACCCGCTCAGATGAACCGAGCAGCCTGACTTCGCTACTTCAGCATGAAGCCGCCCAACATCGTGCCCGCCGCCGTTGGGTCGCCAACTTTCTCCCGTACCAGCTGCCCGACACCGACATCAGTGACGCCGACTTCCCCGACGGCGACGAAGACCCTCCAGATGACGAAGGCGAGCCGCCTGATCTTCTTCGTCTCCATCGGGTTCCCGGCGACCTTCCAGCTCGTTGGAAACGCCTGCGCACCTACCTGGCTACACAACCGCCTGCACGGATGTGGGCCACAGTGAAGGCCCTCGTGGGCGCATGGACCACCAGCTACCGCATGCATGTCATCCAGGACAAGCGCCCTTGCCACTTCGGGTGCAATCACCCGCTCGCCAAGGACAACATTCAGCACTACATGACATGCGAACGCATGTGGCACCAGCTGAGCCTGCCTCGCGGCCAGCTGAGCGCCGACCTCCTCACGCGCATGGCGCTCCCCGAGCTGTCGCACCCGTTCGACTGCGAGAACGGCATCCCGAACTCTGCCACGCGCCTCGCCGTCGCGACGCGGGCGTACCACCTCACCAAGGACCTCCCCCTCCCGATCTCCTACCACAACCAGTACACGGCCTTCGCCGCCGCTCGCCGCGCCCTCCAGCTCCCGGCTGACCTGAGCGGAGGTGCGGGCGCGCCGCGGCTCGGCTAAGCGCGGACGAACCTTCCTTCAAGGTTACGTTCGCTCCTCCTCCTCCTCCCCCTCCTCCTCCTCCTCCTCCTCCTCCTCCTCCTCCTCCTCCTCCTCCTCCCCCTCCTCCTCCTCCCCTCCTCCTCCTCCTCCTCCTCCTCCTCCTCCTCCTCTCCTCCTCCTCCCCTCCTCCTCCTCCCTCCTCCTCCTCCTCCTCCTCCTCCTCCTCCTCCTCCTCCTCCTCCTCCTCCTCCTCCTCCTCCTCCGCCTCCTCCTCCTCCTCCTCCTCCCTCCTCCCTCTCCCTCCTCCCTCCTCCCTCCTCCCTCCTCTCCTCCCTCCTCCCTCCTCCCTCCTCCTCCTCCTCCTCCTCCTCTCCTCCTCCTCCTCCTCTTCCCTCCTCCCTCCTCCTCCTCCCTCCTCCCTCCTCCCTCCTCCCTCCCCCTCCTCCCTCCTCACTCCTCCCTCCTCCCTCCTCCCTCCTCCCTCCTCCCCCCGTCTCTCCCCACAGTCCAGGCCGCGTCCCGAGGCCGAGCTGGTGTAGGGGCGCGGGTGTCGCCTCGGGGAGGGCCTCCTCCAGCTATCTCTCTTCGCCCCGCAGCTGGCGTCCTGCGGTGGCATCTGGGATGTGTTAGGACAGGCGAGACCCCAGCGGTGGTGCGCGTGAGCTCTCGCGCTGCCCATCCCCGCCCTGTGTTGCTGGTGTCCGCCTGGCACGGGAGACCCTTGAGGCCCTTCTGGAGGGATCCCTTTGTCCCCCTCGCCCTGGGTCGGGGCCCCAGCTGTAGCCTGTCCCGGGGATTCCCGCTCCCCAGGGAGCTGGGGCTGGTGCGACTGGGCCGTCCTCTGGTCGCGGGGGGGTGCGGAGGGTGCCTCAGGGTGCCCCGCCCCCCCCCCCCGCCCGACTGCAGCGGCGCGGGGACCTCGGGGGGAGGGCCGGGCGCCGACCCCTCGTAGTAGGGGGGGAGGGGGAGGAGGGGGAGGATGAGAAGGGGGAGGAAGAGGAGGAGGAGGGGGAGGAGGGGGAGGAGGAGGAGGAGGAGGAGGAGGAGGAGGAGGAGGAGGAGGAGGAGGAGGAGGAGGAGGAGGAGGAGGAGGAGGAGGAGTAGGAGGAGGAGGAGGAGGAGGAGGAGGACCCCCCCAAGGGAGCCTCTTGGATCGAGTGGCGCCGTGACGCTGCGGCACTAGACCCCCGCGACGGGTGGGGAGCTGCCCCCCAGCCATTCCCGAGTGGGAGGTGTCGCTAAAGGGGCCGTGCCAGCGGCCGCACCCAATGCTTGCCCAAGCCATCACCACCACCTCCTTCCTCCTCCCTTATACTTTTTTTCCCCCCTCCCTCCTCCTCCCCCTCCTCCTCCTCCTCCTCGTCCTCTTCCTCCTCCTCCTCCTCCTCTTCTATCTCCTTCCTTCTCCCTCCTCCTCCCTCCCTCCTCCCTCTTCCCTCCCCCCTCCTTCCCCCTCTTACCTCCCCCTCCTCCCTCCCTCCTCCTCCTCCTCCCTCCTCCTCCTCTCTTCTCCTCCTCCTCCTCCTTCTCCTGCTGCTCCTCCTCCATTTTTTCTCCAGACTCTGCTCGACCCCCCCGAAGTGCATCGCCGCTGCATCGCAATCCTCCTTTTCCGCTATCGCTTCCCCTCTCATTTCAGAAGTTTTACCACGCTCTCAAGAGAGGGCTCCTTCCGCTCTCTCCTCACTCCTCCTCCTCCTCCTCCTCCTCCTCCTCCTCCTCCTCCTCCTTCTCCTGCTGCTCCTCCTCCATCCTCTCTCCAGACTCTGCGGGACCCCCCCGAAGTGCATCGCCGCTGCACCGCAATCCTCCTCCGCTTTCGCCTCCCCTCTCATTGCAGAAGTTTTACCACGCTCTCAAGAGAGCGCTCCTTCCGCTCTCTCCTCCCTCCTCCTCCTCCTTCTCCTCCTCCTCCTCCTTCTCCTCCTCCTCCTCCTCCTCCTCCTCCTCCTCCTCGTCTTCCTCCCTCTTCCTCCTCCTCCTCCTCCTCCTCCCTCCTCCTCCTCCTCGTCCTCCTCCTCCTCCTCCTCCTCCTCCTCCCTGTGCCCAGAGTTCCGACGGCGTGGTTCTTTCACAGCGTGAAGTCCCTGAGGGCTGGACCTGTCCCCTGGCACCAGCTTATCGGCCCGAGCCGTTTTTTCCGGCCCTGGGGCCCGGTAAGGGCCCCCAGATGCCGAAAACGGTCGAAAGGTGTCCGCAGTGATCTTGGTCGCGACGAGAGGAGGTGGGGGCACATTGAGATCCGACGTCATGGAAGCTATGCAACATCGTATAACAATTCAGAGCGCTTGCGTATCCCCACCAGCCCATCCGGACACGATGCTTAGGGAAGCTGCTCTTGTCAGGGGAGCATGGCATCTTTCGAATACCTTGGGGAGCCTCAGTGAACTAGAGGCCTCTCGGAGTCGCTTGAGATGTCTCCTGGGGGGCTCCTGGTGGCCTCTTAGGGCGTCTTGGGGTCCGCTTGGGGCGTATTGGCCTTCTTGGGACCCTCTTGGGAGCCTCGGAGGCCTTGTTGGGACCATTTTGGAGGGCATCGATCCAAGAAGGGGGGTCCCGCTGCCCCTCTAGAGCCCCTGACATCGCCTCTTAAGGCTTTCTTCAGGCCTCTTTTGGGTCTCTTCTGGGCCCTCTTGGAACCATTTTGTGGCCTCGGAAGGCCATCGGAAGCGAACGGGCGAGAACGCCACCTTCATTGACTTCCTTCCGATTTCGGCAGGGGGTGCCTGGGGATGCTCCGTGACCGCTCGGGCCCGTCTTGGATTGGTCTTGGGGCCTTTAGGAGGAATCTCGGAGGCTACTTAAGCCGTCTTGGAGATCATCTCGGGCTACCCGGGGCACTCTGGGAGCGGTCTTTGGCCACCTTGGACGCCCCAGCGCGTCGCGGGCCACCTCCAGACCCAGAGAGAGGGGATAGGGGGAGAGGTGAACCTCTCCCAGAGGGGGAAGAAGGAGGTTGGAAGAAGAAGCGCTCCAAGCCACCTGCATCCTGCACCCAATCTTGTGGTGGCATTTTTCGAGGTGCACCGATCTGCGAGGGTCCGAGGGCCCGAAACGGGGCGAACACGCCCGCTGCAAAACATTGCAACGTCCAGATCTCAGGGTACAGGCGTCCCTTGCGCATGCGGTGGCCAACTGGCCGCGCGCCCAGGTTGATGGGCTTGTGTTCCACCATCACCACCTTCAGTTGGAGGTGGAGGGGGTCCTCCTCCTCTTCCTCCTCCTCCACCTCCTCCTCCTCCTCTTCGTCCTCCTCCTCGTCCTCCACCTCCTTCCCCCCTCCAACTCATGGTGGTGGTGGTGGTGGTGGTGGTGGTGGAAAACATGCCCAGCACAGGTCCTTCAGGCGCCCCATCTGCCTCGGCCGCATCGCCAGCCGCGCGTCCTTCCTGCAGAGCCCCGTGGCCAGCTCCGCCCCGGCCAGCCCGGCCTCCGGCTCCGGCGGCAGGCCGACGTGCACCACGCCGGAGTGGGTGCTCCGCCGGCGGGAACGCGCCGGCGGGCTCGCGCCGCGTCGGCGCGGCGGTGCCCGCGCGGGCGTTCGATGCTGAGCTTGATGGGCGTGTTCTCCGCCACCACCCCCATAGGTTGGGGGGGAGGAGGAGGAGGAGGAGGAGGAGGAGGAGGAGGAGGAGGAGGAGGAGGAGGAGGAGGAGGAGGAGGAGGAGGAGGAGGAGGAGGATGAGGAGGAGGAGGAGGAGGAGGAGGAGGATTTTTTTTTTGACATCAACGTCATCACCTCCAGATGCCAGGGAGAAAGCCCTAGCGACAGCGACTGCAACGGAGGGAGGTGCAGGCGCCTTATATCAGATGAGGGCCGCTACAGTGCACCACGACGAACACCGCGACGGAGCGCAACCTATAGCGGCAGTGCAGTCCTATGTACACGGGGGGCCTGCACCACCCCCCGGCCGTGAACAGCACCGAGAGGAGGACCTCCAGGAACATGAACACGGACGCGACGACGATCACCCCGCGCCACGGCCGATCGCCGCCGCCCGCGCCATCAGCGCCCGCCGCCGCTCGGCGCCCTCCGCGTCGACCAAGCCGCGGCCGTCGGGAGGGGCAGCAGCAGCAGCCCCAGCGCTAGCAGCTCCACCAGGAACCGCCACAGCAGGGCGCGCCGCCACCGCGGCGGGCGCCGCATGGCGCGCTGGGAGGCCGTCAGCGGCGGCAGCACCAGCTCCGTGGAGGGGGCCGCGACGCTGGACAGGGAGCTCGTCGGCCCAGCTGTCGTCAACCAGGGGCGAGGACGGAGCCGCTTGGCCCTCGTCCTGCGAGCCCCCGCGCACGGCCGCCAGCGCCAACGGAGCGGGAGCAGCCCTCCCCAGCTCAGCTCCCGACGCCTCCACCTTCTCGACCTCCATCGCGTCGACGCCTCCTCGCTTGGCATGTCCAGCAAGGCCGCCAGCACCGCCCCGCCCACGCCGCCGTCGGCGCCGCCGAGGGCGGCCCGCAGGCTGGGCGGCGTCGGGCGCAGGCGGGGGCAGCGCCTCAGGCGCGCCGAGCACGGCCGTCGCCGTGCGGAGGAGGCCCTCGGCCGCACGCAGCAGCCGCACTCCATCGAGGGAGTGAGCGGCCGCCAGCCCGCAGGCTGCGTGCGTGGCCATGAGCGCGCCGCGGGCCTCCTCGAGGGCAGCGCGACGCCCGTCAGCCGCCCGCGGCATCAGAACGCTGCGGCCGCAAGCACGGGGCTTGAGCCAGCGAAGCGAACTTGAGCCAGCTGGGCTCAGAAGAGGAGGAGGAGGAGGAGGAGGAGGAGGAGGAGGAGGAGGAGTTGGAGGAGGAGGAGGAGGAGAGGAGGAGGAGGAGGGAGGAAGGAGGAGGAGGAGGAGGAGGAGGAGGAGGAGGAGGACCTCCTCCCCCTCCAGCTCACGGTGGTGGTGGAGAGCGGGCCCCTCCCGAGCTTCTCGCGGGCCCTCCCAGCTCGGCCTGCACGGAGCGGCCCGCGGTGTCCTCGAGGGCGGCGGCTTTGCTCGGCCCACAGCGAGGGGCCAGGAGCCCCCCCGCGCGCACCGTCTGCGCGGCGCGGGCCTGCGGTGGTCCGCGCGCGCTGTCTCGGAGTCGTGCCCCGGGGCCTCGTGGAGCGGCGGGCACGGTCCTCCTCCTCCTCCGCCTCCTCCTCCTCCTCCTCCTCCTCTCCTCCTCCTCCTCCTCCTCCTCCTCCTCCTCCTCCTTTCGCTGCTCCTCCTCCTCCTCCTCCTCCTCCTCCTCCCTCCTCCTCCTCCTCCTCGTCCTCCTCCTCCTCCTCCTCCTCCTCAGATGGGGTCGGAGGACTGCGCCGCATCGCCGATGCATCGGCGGCGCGGCTCGAAGTGGAGCCCGAATGGGGCTCCACGCCGACGTCGCCGACGCACCGCCGACGCGCGCTGCCCCGGAGTCGTGCCCCAGGTCCTCGAGGAGCGATGGGCACGGCCTAGAGAAGAAGAGACAGCCACAGAAACATAGACTTTTGACGCTCCGCGCGGATTTCTTGGATCCGCGACGGAGCCCCCCAGCGGCGCCTCCGGCGCCGTCCCCGGCGCGCTCCGCGCGCCAGGGAGGGGGGTCCAGCGCGATTCCAAGGAGTCCGCGCCGAACGCCAAAAGTTTATGTTTATGTGTTTTTTTCTTCTTCTAGTCCAGGCTTTCCAGATGGGGTCTTGCCGATGCATCGGCGATGCGGCTCGAAATGGAGCCCGATTTTCTCCACGCCGACGTCGCCGATGCACCGCCGACGTCGCCGATGCATCGCCGATTCGTCGCCGATGCCTCGGCGATGCGGCGCGATGCTCCGACCCCAGCTGCTCCGACCCCACCTGGGAGGCCTCCACATGGACAACCTGCCAGCCCCTGCGGGCGGGAAAGTGGCCACATCCATCGAAGACGGAACAGCGGCGTGACCAGAAACTTTCGGAGCCTCGCGTGGATCTCGCTGCTCGGCACTGGACCCATCCTTGGCGCGCGGAGCGCGACGGGGGCGGCGCCAGAGGCGCCGCTGGGAGGGTCCAGCGCCGATCCGAGGGGTCCGCGCGGGGCTCAGGACGTTTGCGTCCGTGCGCGCCGACGTTTCCTCTCGCCTCCGTGTGCCGACGCGGAAAGTGTGCCCCCGCTTTCCTCTGCCCGACGTCTGCTGCCGCTTGGGGACTCAGGCGCTCGGCCGATTTGAACAACGGTTGGGCGCTGAAGCTGGCCCTCGGGCCTGCGCCCTCGACGCCGCGCCGCGGCGGATCCGAGGCCAGCGCCTTCCCGGCGCCAGCGACGTCGGGGCCCGCCTCGCCCCCTGCGCCCGCGCGGGGGGAGAGCAGAGGGCGAGCGTCAGCAGCGTCGGTGGCCCCACGCAGCCCTGCGGGGCGGGGGCCCGGCCGCGGGGTCCCACGCCGTGCTTTCGTGGCAGTCTTGCAACCGCCGCCCTCGGCTTTTGGGCGCCGCCACGGCGGGGGCCCCCCCCTGTCTGCCCATAGGCCCCCCCCCATCCTTCCGCCGCGGGGGCCGGGGCAAAGGGGGTCCAGGGCGGGAAGGGGTTTTCTGGATCGCGGTGGGCCCCATGGAGGATGGGTGGGGCTTCGAGGTCACGCCCGCGCTGCTCCCTTGCGTGTGCGCGGTGCGGTGCGGACAGAGGGGCATGGACCTCCGACGCCCGCAGCGTTAGAGGGGGGACCCCTTCCGCTTTGAGGACAGGTGCGAGGCGCCCGGGAAGACAGCGCCATCGGCTACGACGCCTGGGATCAGCGCGTGGACCGCGTGACGGCCGAGCCATGGCGGCAGGATTTGGCGCTGCCCAGCGAGCAGCGACGAAACGTAACTAGAGACCAGCCTCAACAGCTACAGTGCCGCGAACAGCGCCTGCGGTGCGAGAAGCAACAAGCATGACGGGTACTATCACTTCGACGTTGAGCAGCACGTCGGAAAGTAGCAGCCTGGCCCTAGCGTCCACGAGTGGGGCACGTGGAGTCCCGCGTCGCTAAACAGCACGTCGGGCACTTGTATCTCGAGGTGGAGCATCTCTTCGGAGTGCAGCATCCCGTCGTGGATCACCACGACCAACAAGAGCAGCGCTTCGCTGACGAGCATGCTGGAGAGTACCAAGCAACCCGACCCAGGCGTCCGCGAGCGGGACGTGTGCCGCCTCGGGCATCACGTCGCTGAGCAGCACGGTGGATGCTAGCGTGCAGCAGCGCGCCGGAAAGCAGCAGCAGCTTGACCTTGACGTTCACGAGGGAGGCGACTACTGCCTCGAGTGCCACGTCGTGGGCCCTCAGTACCACGTCGGTGACAACCTCGTCGGGCACGGGCATGGCGACGTCGAGCAGCGACGGCAGCAGTTCGATCCTGATGCTCACGAGTGGGACGAGTACCTCCTCGAGGACCACGTCGCGGAGCAACGCGACGGATACTAGCATCGTGATCGCGGGCAGCAGCCTGTCGGAGAGCACCAGCTCTACCCTGACGCCCGCGAGCGGCGCGAATGCCGCCTCGAGTACTATGTCGCTGCCCACCGCGACGGGCACCAGCGGCGCACCGTGGAGCAGCACGGATAGGAACAACAGCTCGACCCAGCATGTGGGACGAGTGCTGCCGAAACCCAGGGACGGGGGGGCGGAGTGCGACGCCGCGCTCGGGGAGCAGCCGTGCAACGCGGGTTCGCGTGTCCGCGACTGCACGCTAATGCCGTGGACGGCTTGGGAGCCCTGCTCGATGGCCCGCGGCGGCGGCGTCCAGGAACACAGGCGGGAGGTGGACATCCCCATCCGCGCGAACGGCAAGGAATACAACGCCCAGGATAGGGTCGGTGACGGGATCGGTATCGCTAGGCAGGACCTCGTCATTGCGCTCGACGGCTGCGGCTCCCCGAATCAGGAGGGCTTCAACATCGTTCAAAGACGAGCCCTGGATCTTGCCATCATGACAGAGCACGTGCTATGGCGTGGAGGACATGCGCATTAGGCTGGTGCTGTTCAGGAACGACGAGTACTTCGACGGCGGTGCCGTCGCGGCGGCGCTGCAGAAGGTCCCGATAACGAGCGACCTGGAGTCCGTCAGCGCGGCGATCGCCAGACGGTATTGGCAGCCGCGGTGAGAAGAAGCTGGAGACCGGCAGCGTCAGCTACAACGCGGGGGCCAGCGCCCGCGATGCGGCGATGCGAGACGGGCGAGCAGCGGCAGCAGGCCCCAGCGCTGCCCAGCAGGCTGCGGCGAGAGGGAGCTGGAGACCAGCGTCATCAGCGGCAGCGCTGGGACTAACGCCCGCGAGGCGAGACGGGCGGGCCGTGGCCGCAGGCTCGGGCGCTGCACCGCCCGCGATGTGAGACGGGCGAGCCGGGGCAGTGGGCCCCGGCGCTGCTCGGCGAACTGCCTCGGGCGCGTGCGATGCGAGACGGGCGAGCGGTTGCGTCGCCCGGCGCGGCGCAGCGGGGGGCTGCAAGAGAAGCTGGGGGCCAGCGACAACGGCTGCGACTCTGGGGTCGGCGCCTGCGGTGCGGGATGCGCGCGCA